AAATGTTGGCGGCAGCTTTTAAGGCGGACAGGTTCAGTTTCAGGCAACTAAACCACATTTAAAAACCCTGTTATACATCAGCGTAACATGGAAATCGTTCTTGGTCAGTTTAGGTTTGGTTCTGGCTGCATTTTTCATCTAATGATAGAAATATTTGGCTCTTATTTAATTTGCAAACTACCATTTCATGTTGGGCGATTAGCAAACAGAGCAAATTGGGCAAAAAGTTTCAGAACCAAACTGTTCTTGGAATTTGTTCAGTGAACAACCAATAATGCCAAATTTCCATCGTATTTTCCACACTGTTTTTGTCGGGTTGACTTGCGATCTCTGTTATTTAATCGCAACCAACAACAACACAGAAACTCCATTTAATTCTCATTTTCTCCGATTTTGGTCAACATTTGTGCTAAATTTGGATGGAAGTTCACCCAACAGTTGTACACATACGTCAATCAGGACAGGACTTAAATCTGAATTTTCAACCAATCTTCCATCTGTTTGCTTTGCTCTAAACGTGCATCAATAATATAAGGTTGCATTAACCAAAATACTTTCCATTTAGCGAGTAGCTGGTACATTTGTGTAGGACGTTTAAGATTTGCTTCCCCTACGGAATTAAATTCTAAGTAAATCCTTAAGACGTAATTCTAACACACGCTAAGATTCAAGCTATGAAACCATCCAGGTTGGGTTTTTGTGTGAAGTAAGTGTAAGAATATACACTGTAAGACATTATTACTAAAGTATAAATGCAGTATAACGTGTAATCCTGCTGATACAGTTTAGTGCAACTGAACATTTAACTTAGCATCCGCAGGCTTTTTTTATTTATTTATGATCATTCTGATAAGTCATAACTCTAGTTTGAGATACTTTAATTCCCCTCAATTAAACATATCTACATGGACTTTTTAGATCCTTAAGTTTAAACCAGTCAGAATCTCAAACTGGAGTTCTGCCTCGTCAAATTCTAATTTCTTGAACCAGAGTTTTGACTCTGTGACATGACGTTGCAGATATCTGTAGCTTTTCAAACATGCTGTTGCACGATATCTGCATAGGACAAAATGCTTTCCGGCCAAAAATTCTGGTGAATTTCAGCCTCAAGTCTGTGATGAAAGAAGCTGTTGTTTGTCTTTTCTATTTCACGGTGTTTTCTAACTATCTTATTCTCCACAGCAACGCCAGTACTTCAACTAACACCGTTCAAAGGTTTCAACCAACTTAACAGGCTACGTTTGAGGATTGTAGGTGGAATAATCTTTAAATCAAATCTCTTAGGTCTTCGTTCAAGGATTTTCGGTGGAATACTCCTTTTTGGTTGATGTTTGGGGACCTTTTGGGTGGAATGCTGCTTTAAACCAACCTTTTTGGTCTGAGTTTGATGACTTTAGGTCTACGTTTGGGGACATTTTAGGTGGTGAATTCCTTTAAAACTAACCTCTTACATCTACGTCCAAGGATTTTCAGTGAAATATAACTTAATTCTAAGTTTGAGGACCTTTTGGGAACCAACCTTTTAAGACCTACAGGCATAGACTTGAGGATTTTGAGGGAAATATTCCTCTAAGGCCAACTTTGAAGGTCAACCTTTGAGGCTTTTAGATAGAAGATAACTTGAAGCCAAATTGTGAGGTCAACGTCAGAGTATTATTGGTGAAATATTCCTTTAAACCAACCTTTTAGGTCTACATTCAAGTATTTAAGGTGGAATATTTTTCTAAAATATTTTACATTTTGGGTAGAATACTCCTTGAAACCAACTTTTTAGGTCTACATTTGAGGATTTGGGGTAGAAAATTCCTTGAAACCGACCTCTTAGTTCTAAATTTTAAGTTAAATATTCCTTTTTACCAACTTTTTAAGTCAACATTGGAGGATTTTAGATGGACTATTCCTTAAAACCAACCTTTAAGTTCTACATTTGTGGATATTGAATGGAATATTCCTTTAAACTGACCTTCAAGGTCTACATCCAAGGATTTCTAGTGGCATATTTCTTTTAGGTTTACATTTGAGGACGTTTTAGGTGGAATATTCCTTTAAACCAACCTTTCTGATCTGAATTAGATGTTTTGCCTCGTATCCAGTGAGAAGCCTCACATGAGCAGCGTGATGCACAACAATTCCTTGTCCTCACTGTGACGTTTGAGGTTTATGGCGCGGTTACATTGTTTAGTCCAAACTGAATTACAGATATCGCTGTTATTCTGACCAGTCTCAGAACTGTAATTTTATTTCCGGACTCGGCTATTAGACGTCAAATCACATGTGACTCTGATACGTCAACAACCTGACAAAGTCTGAGATTAGAAGCAAACTGCCCACGAGGATCTAAAACAAGTCCTGTTGTGTTTGCCTCCAACACGCGAGCTTTAATCATTCTTCATCTACTTCCTGATCAGTTTTATAAATAAAACAGACGTCTCTTCTGCTGTACTTTAACAACTCAAACACGGGTTTAGTCAAAAGGTGCTTTCTGAAACAAACCCAGCCCCAACATCGTTGTTTACCAGAGTGTTTGTTCACGTCCACTGATCTCATTTTTCTCTGCAGTAAAAGTGTGCAGTGTGTTGGCTTTATAACATAAATATCGTCCGCCAGCATCATCCTGGATGGGGGAGGGGGGAGGGGAAAGAACTGCAAAGAGACCACACCTGGGACAAATACTATTTACCAGTAAGTGAAACCACGACGCTTCTCCTCCCGCTCCCAAAGTGATTCCTAAATATTATTTGCCCCGGGTTTGGAGAAGAGCATCCTCACTCTCGGGAACCTTTAAAGACTCAGAGAACCGGGGTTTACGTCTGTAACCCTTCGCTTTTCTGTAATGTTGGCCAAAAGTGCAGTATATCATACAGTATGTGAAATATGTGAAAAAAAAACAACAAACATGTGAAAATCTATTTGTACAGATACAATGGTTTAACCGTCCTGTTACATTGTTGTATTCAATATGTAGAACTTTATATGTGACTGTGTGAAGAAGATTTTTCTATTATTTATTGATTATTTTTATTAATTTACTTGTGACCTGACCAAAATACCCCATCTGTCTGTTCTGTCCAACACTGATGATGATGATAATGTGCAATGTTACAGAGGGAACTATATGTATAGGGATTAAAGATTATATCATGACGACACACCACAAACTTGTTGGGTTTTGGTCTTGTTTTGAACCAAAAAAAAAAAAAAAAAAAAGGGAAGTGAAATAGATATATCTTTATTAGCTTTAATTGCATCAGTTATATTCAGATATACGACGCCACAGCCGAAAGAAACAAGGGAGCTAAAAGTCCAAATGTACATCGAGATGAGGTAAACGCATCGTGTTTACGAACCGGCCTCCCTGAGCATGCCTTTAACACGAGCTCCAGTCCATGCAGGTACATTCATTTACTGCTCATGTCGAGTGCAGCCGCTAAACCATTAAACACCAAAGAACTCAATATTCTGTAACGACATCTGGAGGGGAGGGAACGAAAGCAGCGATCCTCTTGTTGCCCAACTTAAACGGATTATAACGTACATTCAAAAACATGCTCAGCCGGCAGCATGAAGGAAAGCGGCACACACGTCTAGTACATCTGTAAAAAGGTAAAGGGCTCTCGTTGATCTGTAAGTACTGATGCTGTAACATGTACAGAAATGGGTTAATTTAGTCTCTCTGAAGGTGCTCAGTGGAAGTTTGGTTAACTGATTCGCAAGGCACAAATTTAAAGATTTGATTCTGGGCTGAAAGAAATGCTTTGTTCTGACTCTGACCCTGTTGATAAAGACTCTGACTGGCTGATCAGAGGCTTTAGAGTGACGGCAGAACATCACAAAACTCCAAACCCTGAAATAATTCTTAAAAAAGACCTTAAACTGATTGTAGCGCCGCTCTTGTAGTCCGGGGAGCATCTGATTGGCTGGTCAGTGTCCCTGCAGTATCCCTACATCTGGACGGTAACACAACAGCAAAAAAAATAGGAATTTAGAGGCAATTTCTGTCTAGATTGTGAGCACACTTTCTGAATGTGAAGTGTTTTCTATTCCTGTCACCTGTAGGGAGACCAAAGAGCAAACTGGGACGTCGTTAGACGGACAAACCTCGGAGATGTTAGTACAGAAACGGGATCGAACAAGCTGCAACACCGTTATCGTCGGACTGAATTTCACTTCTGCTTCGAATACAACTGGAACCGTCATCAAAACTTGAGCATCTGACAGAAGCTGTAGCCTGCAGCTGCTTAGCTTAGCTTCTCTAGAGAAACAGCTAGCGTAGCTCAGTGCAAAGGTAGAATCGTCTGACTTCCAATTCCGGTGACTTAAGCTGGGCTCAGGATGCAGGAATTTGGGTGTTTTTGGAGGTGAAATCAGTTCCAGGATCTTGATCTAAACTAATAATATCAAACATTAGCTAAATTAGAGCAGTGTCAGTGTGTAAAAACAGTTTTATCAGTAAATAGAAAAAAGTCAGCTGTTTTTCATTCATCTTAGCATTCGATTATTGTCAACGTCGCCAATGTCAGTTGAGGAAACTGTCTAAAATTTGCCTCAATGATCGCTAGCGCCCGGAGCAGCAATGCTAAACATGCTAGCCCTCGATGCTAATGTTAGCAACAGGTATTAAAAACAATCAAAAAAACTGTGTTGGCTGCATCATCTTAGCCCAATCAGACTTGTTTAGCGTCACAAGTTGTTGCCCCACAGCCTCCATTCTGTTTCTATCTGCTTCCCCGTGACTTCATGTGAATTTGTTTTACTCGTGTTTGATCGTGATTTCACAAGACTCCACAGACACAATGTGGTGATCATGCTAAGCTAGGCTAACCAGCTGCTGGCTGTAGCTCCACGATGAATAGACAGATATGAGTGGTGTTGATACTGTTGTGGCGTGACAGCAAATAAGCACATTTCCTCAAATGTCAAAGTATCCCCTTAAATGAACGAACGCTGGTTTAAGGTTATAAATGTAAAGGTCTGATCTCCTGCAAAGCTGTACAAACTTCAACAAGTCACCTGCAAAACTTCAGAGCAGCTGATTTCCATCTCTAATTCGTGTCTTTAATCCCTCGGGAAGTAACTCAGGGCCTCATTTATAAATGTTACGCTCCATTTTGTTGCATAATGATGACAGAGTCGGAGGAAAACTGGTTCTGATTGGACCAGCTTCTCCTAGGATCAGAATTTAAAACATCATAAATGAGGCCTCTGACGTCGACGCTCGGCGAATGGAAAGTGTTTGTCTCTTTTTCAGTATTTACACTGTGGATGTTTGCTTCTCTGAGTGATGACAGACTGTTGTGAAGGCCTCCCATTGGTGCTCCAGCAGGAGGGGCGGGGCTTGTGGTTCCAGGTGGGATGGCAGGCATGCGTCGCGTTGTTCATGGTCTGGCTGCAGCGAGAAGCAGAACTTTATTAGACTGTGGCACTTAGTTTGTCTTATTTCTTGTTATTTATGTGAATGATTGGTTAAATCATAAAAGTGTACGTGTATGTCTGCCCTCTGGTGGCCATCATCAGTATGACATGTCTGTATATATATTTACATTTACTTTAATAAAACTAAAGGTAAAGTTAAAACCAAACACAGATTTTGAAAGTGTACTCACAGGGTGGTTTAGTTGTTGTGGGTGTAGTTGCCTCCAGCCCTGACGGAGCTGCAGATGGGGGACGACAGTGGATGATGACCCGGCCTGATGGGCTTCGCTGAGATGGAAAAAAAAAAAAGGAAAATGGTTATTCAGTTACTCAAAAACTAATGATTCATGATGCAGGTTTGTATTTCAACACCTCTGCTTTCTTTCTGCGACAACTGGTTTAACAACTTGAGGAAGGCAGAAGTAAAAAGTTGAACTCTTTCTAAAGGAATAACTTGAATTTGTTTGCAAACAGTTGCTAATTTCTACATCCAGAAGTTGTCATTTAATCTATTTTTAGCATCACGTTTTCTACTGTGATGCTAAAACACGTGTGTGATGAAAACAGGGAGGATTTCAAGACGTTTTCTATCTGCAGCAGCTCAGAAACAAACTATTAAAAATACTGAACCAAAAGCAGTGAAGTTGCAGCTAAACAAAGAGCCAAAACGTTCTATAAAGCTCTGTAGACTCATCGACAGCAGCAATAACAGATCATGAAGGTAAAACCTCACCGATCTGTGCAGAGTAGCCCCTCCTGGCCATGTTCTTGGCCCGCACCGCCTCCTTGATGCGGTCCACCTCCTGCTGGTAGCGCTTGCGGTCCCTCATGGCGTTCTCCTTGGCCTCCTTCAGGGCGTTCTCCAGAGCTTTGACCCGTCCGGCCGTCGCTCGCAGACGCTTCTCCAGTTTGGGAAGCTCACAGCGGAGGTCTGCGTTGTCTCGGACCAGCTGAGGACAACGACGGAAAGCAACTAAGTACTCATTTTATACGACATTATGCTCGTCTTGAGGTCCAGGAAACAACACCTACATCACAAAACTCTGTGCCTGCAACTGTATTTGACGGATATTTGGCGTTTCAGATGGTTGTCTAATTATTATAGAAAGTGTCATCAAGGCAAAGTGGATACTGCAGGTTTGGACAATCCCACCAACTGGGTAGATTTTGGTGATGTTTCTTGATTCCCTGACACATTAAATCATCATATGGGTATATGTCGGTACGAGGACTAACTATGAAGCTTTATTCTTGGCTGGAAAAAACAGCAACAGATCTTTAACCGCATACAATTACAGCGATTTACAACGACAAGAAGTGCAGGTGTTTAACCACGATCCCTAAAAAACCAAGGGAGTTCCAGAGAAATGAAGGTAGGTATACTTTTATAAACTTTAATGCATGCTGATGTCAAATTATATCATTGATGTCTCATGTCTTCTTGGGTGTGTCGATGAATCCGACTGGTTTGTTTGATGTTTGTTGTTGAAAACTTTCCCCTCAGCATTCCTCACACACCCACTCACTTTGCTTGATGGTACAGCCCATTGGACTTCCATCTACCTGTGTTCCTATTGGCTCTCCAGGTGGCTGCTTGGTGTGATAGGGAACACCTGTGCAGCTCAGTGTCTTCTTGGTTTACCTGGCTGCAGTCGATTCACTTTCTCTGCTTCTCTTCACAGACACCACTGAACCGGGTTTAGCTGTGTTGCTTTGGTTTGTTCTTTAAGTGTTGGCTTCCAGTTTACAACAACAAAATGGGCTTTAATGTGTTTCTTGGTGTGTTTTAGGTCTAGTTGTCCGGTTAGGTTTGTTTCTTTAGCCGTAGTTAGCACATGCTGCTAACATGTGCTCATGCTGATTAGTGGATTTGGTTCAGCTGAGTCGTGGCTTTGTCTCGGGCTGTAGTTTAGCTTTTGGTGAGAAACAGTCTGTAGTCTTGTTTGTGGCTCAACGCTGGTTGTCCAGAAGGTAAGTGTCTATTTAAAGAGATTTCTCTGGTAGGCTGTAGAAAAGATGACCGTCTGGGTTGTGCTAGTTTGTTGTTTGTAGTGTTTCGTTTGGACAAATATCTCAGAGGCACTCCATGTGGTTTTCTGCTGCAGGTCGCTTTGCAGAACTACATAAAGACGAGGACGTTTTTAGGAAGGTTTTTTGGTTTTGTTTGTTTGAACAAGGTGTGTGAGCAAGTGGTGGAGATGACTTAACTTCTGAGCAGCGGAAAGAGTTGTTAGTGAAGCAGTTTGAGTCGGAGAAGTTAAGCTTAAGAGTAGAAATTGAGAAGATAGAAGCAGCTTGAGTTGGAGATAGTTTAGTGGAGTGCTTAACTTGGAACAGGTGCAGTTAATTTGTGGTTTTCTGTTGGGTTGTGTTGTGGATTTTATTGCTAATATTGTAATCTTAATGTAACTTCTCCATGCGTGTGCAGCACAGTGGTGCTTCAGAGTCTGTACCTGCTTGTGGACTTTGGTGAGCTGCTCCAAGTTGTTCTCCAGGAAGGAGATCTTCTGTTTCTGGGCACCGTTGCAGAGTCCTTCCTCGCAGTCGAGCTCGGCGCTCTTAATTAAACACAAAGCAGATCAGTTTTAGAAAAGTGACAATGCCACATAGTCTTGTTTTGTCCTGTAGAAGTTGTACCTTCTTGACCCGTGTGGTGAGGTCCTGGACGAAGAGTTTGCGCAGGTTGTGAAGAGTCTGTAGTTCTTTGGCCTGAAAGCACAAGAAGAGTCGACTGAGTCCCATTAAAGTTTAAAACATGAGATATTGTTCGTTTTTGTCACAGTTTCCTAAGCGTGAATCTCAAATGTTTGAGCCCAAGACGATCGAGAAGACTTCAAAGAACTCCCCATTCCCTGGACATGAGATGTTTTATGTTAAATTTTATTCTGTGTTTTATTTAGAGTTTTTAGGGTTTTTTTTTCTTTTTGTAAGCAATTTTCTCTTTGCTGGTTTTGTATTGTGAACTGTGTGAAAGCTGCAACACAATAAAGTTTAATTAATCAATTGAATAATTGACTAACTCATGATTGTGACACAGCAGAAGTATTTGCATTTTGATTTAAGGGATTCAAACTCAAATCTCAAGTGTTTCATTTCTAAGGTTGGGGTTAAACTATTAATATAAAAACAGAATAAAAAAAAAATTAAACTACATTAAAAAGCAGTTAAAGACAAAATGCTTAATACAATATAACTTTTTAAAGAAAATAAAATTAGAAAAAGATAAAACATTTAATTAAATAAACATTAAAGAAAACATTTCTTTAATTAAACATTAAATAAAGCAATTAAAATATTAAAAAACAATATAAAACATTTAAAATGACATTTGATTAGATCATTAAACAATAAAAAAATACAATAAAACAAAGAAAATTAAACATTGAAAAAGACAAAACATTTAATTAGATAAAACTATAAAATTAAAAAATTAAACATTAGACAAGACAAAACATTAAACAGGAAACTAAGCAATTAAAAAATACAATTAAGCATTTAAAAGGAAAATTAAACATTAAAGGACAATTTAAAAAGGAAAAACCTTAAAGCCAAAGATTTAATCAAAAATTAAACACTAGGAAAAAAAGGGACGTTTTCAAGCTTATAAAACTGAAAAAGTCAATAAAACATCTGCGGCAACAATTAAACATTAAAAAGACAAAACATTGCAAATAAAACAAAACATAGAAATAAAAAGAAAGAGAGCAACACTAAAACATCTAAGATAAAAGCTAAAGACAACATGTTTGAAAAGACATCAATTAAACGTTAGAAAGCAAAATAAAACAGCAGAGACAATAAGACAAAAACATATAAAGGTCTTTAAACTACTTTCTAGGCTTAAATGAAAACATCGAGTTGTTTTATTAAAACATTTCTTCTTTCTATGTTCTTGGTTTAACTGTGGACAGATGGACAAACTGCTTCTTTGTTAAGAAAACTGCTTTAAAGACTAAGTTCACGATTAGTTTAAGGCATTAATCAAACTAATGTTACCGTCTGATCTTAACAGACTTTAGTGTTCAGTGAAGAAAATCAAAGTTTGTCAAGGATTTCCAAAGAACCCAAAGGTGAAGGTATGAGAAGGAGTCAGATCTATGGTATAAATGTCAAGTCAAGACTCATCGTCTTAAGTTTCAAGGCTTCTATTAACCAGAAAGCTCAAAGTAACAGAAGATTTCAGCTCTCGGAGTGTCTAAAAGCTCAAAGTAACATCAAACTACTGAGGGATTAAAAAGATTTCAGCCCTTGGACTGTCTAAACTCTCAAAATGCCATAGAACTACTCAAGGATTTGAAAGATTTCAGCCTTCGGAGTGTCTAAAAGCTCAAAGTACCATAGAACTACTCAAGGATTTGAAAGATTTCAGCCTTCGGAGTGTCTAAAAGCTCAAAGTACCATAGAACTACTCAAGGATTTGAAAGATTTCAGTCCTCGGAGTGTCTAAAAGCTCAAAGTACCATAGAACTACTCAAGGATTTGAAAGATTTCAGTCCTCAGAGTGTCTAAACTCTTTAAGTAACAGAGACCTACTGAGGGACTTAGAAAATTTCAGCCCTCGGACCTTTCTAAACTCTCTAACTAACAGAGACCTACTGAGGGACTTAGAAAATTTCAGCCCTTGGACTGTCTAAAAGCTCAGGTCCAGAAGGCTCAGCAGGTCTCGAAGCCAGCCTTGGGAGGGTGGAAGCCTTGAAACTTTTGGTTCAACCCTCCGGCACGAGGGCCGAAGTCCAACCCCCCGGAGAAAAAAAAAAAAAGTTGAGAAAATTTTTTTTTTTTTCGAAAAACGGCAAAAAGACGATGACAAATGCGCAAAAAAAAGAAGAATTAGTATCTGAGCGAGTAGCTCAGGGGGTAAGAGGAGAGGCTAGGGGGTGGGAGGTAGTGGGATCGATACCCGCAGTGGCTTTTTCTTTGTTTATTTTTGACGGGATTTAAAGAAAATTTAAGAAGGGTCGGGTTTCGAACCGGTGACCTGCAGCCCCATAGACCAACCCTTAACTCACTGAGCTACAGATCCGATAAAAAAAAATAAATTCGTCGTACCTTTGTCATCGTAGTTTCTGTTCCTAATAAACTGACCACATGGGCGGAGTCAGGGCGGAGTCTGGGTGGAGTCAAGGCGGAGAGTGGGCGGGAGGTGGGCGGCGACCTCCCCCCTCTACTCCCCCCCCGCCCCCCCCACTTCCCCCCACCGCCCCCCACTTCCCCCGACTGCCCCCCTCTCCTCCCCCGCCGACAAAATTTTTTGAAAATCGGCGTTCGGCCGGTTTTCCCGAGATTCGACGAGGTCGGAGGAGGAAGAAGCTTCATCGAAGAGATGTTTTACAGCAAAAAGAAGGACGACAAGAAATCTTGAACCACGATCCCTAAAAAACCAGGCGAGCTCCACAGACATGAAGGTATATGTTTATGAAACTTTGACGCACGCTGATGTTAAACTTGATTTTTTAATTTTTATGGTTTATAGTCTCCAAAACTCACCACAAACCATCAAACTTTATCGTCATTATTTAGGAATTAAATGCCATCCAACACAACAATAAAAACTTTAAATGTGCATTTATAACTTTACATTAAAAGTTTTTGTTAAAAAGTTTTATTTAAATCGTCGTACTGCGTTATATTTTGAATTTAATTCTTATTAATTAAATTGTTCCCTATATTTTACTTTGGGTATATTACTGGGGTGAACGAACTATTAGAGACCATTATTTAATTGTCGATTAATCCATTGTTTTATTGACTCATCTAATTTATTATTTGGTCGATAAAATGGTGGAAAATTATTTTATCAGTGTTTCACAAAGATGACAAATGTCTTGTATTGTCCACAACCCAAAGACATTCAGTTTATTGTCATATAGAAGGAAAGAAAACCAAAAATATTCACGTTTATGAGGCTGGAATCAGACAATTTCTCGTCTTTCATCTAATTAGTCAGAAAAATGGCTGATAATTGATTAATCGCTGCAGCGCCGTCATTTAGGAGGAAAGAAAACCAAAAATATTTCCATTCATGAAGATGGAACAAGACAATTTCTCATTTTATATTTTAAATTAGTCCAAAAATGGGCACTAATTAATTAATTGTTGCAGTTTTTGAGCGATAAAAGGTCTTTGGGGGTGAGTGTAATAAAAAAAAATACACATTTAAACACAAACAAACAAAACACTTGGTTTTGAACATCATAAAGGGGGAAATTCAACTTTTGCATGACAATCTGCACCAAAAGGACATTATTTATTTCTGATGTAAATGTGTGATGTGCTTTCTCTTCACACTGTCTTCTTGTTGGATTGGTTTGGACGGGTGCATGTGCAACAAACACTGGAAAAACTGCCCTTTAGCACCAATAAATGACACTGAATTTGAGAGATAAATAAATGAGACTGAGCCTCAATGTGCTGCTCTTTCACTATTTCAGAATCCCCCATGAACTTCTCAAATGCTAGCAAAGTTAGCATGTTCTCGCCCACATGTTCTGTTGCTCGGCTAAGCTAACAGAGGAAAGCCAAAACAAATGAAAAAACAAGCCTTGAGAATGAGCTTATTTTGACTAAACATCTCAGGTCTTAGACTGTTTTGTTCTTAAGCACCTCCAGTAAGTTAAACAACAAGGAGGAGATACACAAGCCACGAGCTTTAGCCGAGCCAAAGAACACGTGAGGCGCTAACCCAGCAAACATTTCAGACCTTTCTGGTGAATTCTGTGAAATAAATCACAATTCAATGAAAGAGCTACACACTGTCACTCAGTCTCACTTATACAGACTCAAATTCAGCGTCATCCATCGGTTTTAAAGTGCAGTTACCCAAAATGTTTGCAGCATGTGCTCCCAACAACACCTGTCCAGGTAGAAGGCCACACTGACAAACAGGAAGTGGGAGAATCCAAGCAGATTTATAGAAAAGTGGACCGGACTGTACTAAGTGGAGTATAGAGGGGTGTTTGTCTTAGAGCAGGGGTGTCCAATCCTGGTCCTCGGGATCGTCATCAGGCTTCTGCAGAGCTTGATGATGAGCTCATCATTTGAATCAGGTGTGTTGGAAGAGGGAAACACCTAAAACATGCAGGACTGTGGCCCTCCAGGACCAGGATTGGACACCCTTGTCTTAGAGTATACTGCTATTATTAAGGTGGTTTTTTTTGCAGAGCTGATCATGATTATTAGTGATCAAGCAAACTGATGAGAGATATTTAGAGTTGATACACATTTGCAGTAAATTAAAGTATTAAAAGAACACAAACTCTAACACAAAACTTTGTTGATACGCGTTTGTTTATTCATGTTTTACAGATGTTAGGTTAAAATGTATACGCACAATGTATATGTATCCACTCTACCGTTAGTTATTTGTACAATAAGACTAGTCGTATCAAGAAAATAGCCACTTGGTTTTGGCTCAATCTAATTTAGTTTTAATCTATTTTCACACCAAAATCTGAAAAGCAGCCACAATAAAGCAGACTTTCCGACTCACCACAGTCTCCTCCAGACCCTTCAGGTCCTCTCTGGCCTGCTCCTGTTGTTCATTCAGCAGCCTGCACAGAAAACAACACAAACACCGTGAGACACAAACATGTAAAGATGCTCATCAGTGCAGGTAGATGTCCAGTTTCTTCGTTACCTACATGAGTTTCTGCAGCTTTGCATCCTTCTCCTGCTCCTCAGCTTTCACTTTGTCGTAATCCGACATCAGCCTCTCCTGCTCCAGCAGCAGACCCTGATTCAGGCTGCGAGAAGGAGGAAAAAAATATAGCGTCAATAAGTAATAAGATGTTTGTTTATACATTTAAATATTAATATTAGATGTTCTCTGGTTGCTCGGTTTCGAAATGTGGTTTGGTTTAAGCTCCACGTTTAGCCGGAGCCCCACAGAGCTCTTGAAAGGCACTTTTTTTAGTGATGTTAAATCTTTCCTTTACATACCGGCTGTGAGAACCGGCGAGCGGAAACTGACTTTGAACCCAGATTTAATGACTTTCATGCAGCAGCTTTACGCTCACACATGTTCTCTGAGCCGCTTCTCCTCCTCAACAGTCCCTCTTTGAAGACGTACTCGAGTGTAAATCCCCGAATCACATGAGGAATAATAAAAAAAAAACCCTCAATGGAGAAACCCCAGACGGACGACAGTGGATTTCACCGTTTTTAAATATTACTCTACACTTGCTGCACATGGTCTGACGACAGCGCTGCAGTTAGAGACGCTCTTCTGTGCAGAATATGTTCTCACAATTTTCCAATTTATTGAGGTTTTCTTTTGGCTTGTGAATTGTGCTTGGCTTGACTGTTTAAGGTAAGAATAATGACGATGGAAGAACTAAATAAAGGCAACAACAGAACAGGCAACGGCGCTACAAATCTTTTGCGATACGGAGAGAAGGCACGTCTAAAGCACCTTGCTCCTGTGGATAACTGAACTACATTTAATAATAAGATTACACAAGCAACGGTTTAGCTCAAGGTGGACGCAAAGCAGGAGAGGAGGCTCGAACTCCCCTTGCTTTAAAATCCAGCAAACACAAGATGTTAGCAGGCGCACAGGGAAGTAAATCTCATTTGCGTCGCCAGATTTGACTCAAAACTTTAATTGCTCACCTAAAACCGAACTGCACTCCCTGAAATAAACGAGTTTAACAAACAACCACAAACCACATCATCCTTTCTGCAGCTGAAATATTTCATATAACTGTCTAGAGCTGCACAAAATGATAATCAGGATCGTTTTAATTAACACTAAGCTCACGATGAGCCCATTTAGCACAATCAAAATAACTAAAGCTTTCACTTCCATGTTGGGCTACATTCTATATCAAAGTGAGACTTTATCAAAAAACTCAAATAAAATTGTGCCCAAAACGTCTCCCTTGCTGAACATCTGCTTATTTATAGATGCCACAATTAACCGATGTTCCCTGAACGCCTCACATGCAGGCTACAATAGAAGTTGGTACACGGAGAACCTTCTAGTCTCCATCATTTACTGCAGTGCAGCTGCTAAAGAAATAAAATGCTAATGTCAGATTTACCCAAAATGAAACCAACTGATTTCGTCTAACTGTCAATTACCAAACCAGTAGCTCACATGGAGGATTTCAAACACTTTGGCACCACCATCGATCACAAGCTCATCTTTAACACCGCGGCAACAACAAACACGTAAGCAGGCAGTTTCTATAGAAGATTTAACGTATATCAGATCTAAACATTGGTTATCAGTAATTTTTCTTGTTTCACAGCGCTGCTCTGGCTCCAAAACTGAAATGAAAGCTCACTACGTTTCATACGAAGTAGGTGTAGACAGTAAAAAGATCCACACATCTGATCTGCACACAGTCTGCGTGTTATATATTTAGTGCAGCAACAAGGTCATAGTGAGCTGATACTCGGCAGGAACACGAGCCAAACACCTTCTGTTGAATCCGACAGTACTGCAGCAGGTTAGTAAAGATTGGAACCGAAACCTCCAGATAGTGAAGACACAACAAACACCTTCAGACAGATCCAGATCTCTGCTCCTCAGAATCAAAACCGCCACACCTAGCCTAGCACAAACCTCCACCCGTCCACTGAGCTCCTAATCTTTCTAACTTCCACTCATCTCTCTACTGTCCTCACTGTGCCGCTACGTCCTCGGTGTTGGTTTAAAGTGTGCAGTATTGATGTTTTTCTGACTCTGTGAGCTCGTCCAGCATCCTCTGTTTGTCTTCGATCTCGTCCCGGAGGCGGCCGAGCTGCTTCTGGTGGGCCTCCCTGTGGTTCTCCAGCTGCTCCTCCAGCGTTTTCTGCAGGAACCAGGACATAAAAACGCATTTGAGACGCTTTGATAATCAAAATCCGGTCATTTGAAGACGGCTGCGAGCAGATGGTCGCGTTGTTTACCTTGATGTCGTCGTCTCCGTCCAGTCTGCCGATGTCCTCCTTCTCTTTGTCGTCTCTCGACACCTCGTGCCGTTTCTCTGAAGACAGATTAGCGTCAACATCAAGCTTGTTTTATGAGTAATTAAATGTTTTCCTGATGAGTGAAGGTTGTTCTGAATTATAGGATTTCTCTTTTCTCTTGTGTGTTTTATTTAAAAATTGGGGTAATATCCAAAAAAGCAAACAAAGCAGAAGTTTTGGAAGAAGTACCGACCGTGAGCCTGCAGTTTGGCGAGCTCTTCGGTCAGAGCGTCCTGACTCTCCTCCAGCTGCCTCTTCTTCTGCTCCATGTTCTGCATGTAGTCGGTCAGAGACTTGATCTTGGCCTGATGCTGAAGCGACAACAACACGTGGAAGTTTAGTCATTTATTCGAAGCAATTTAACCATCTGAGCCTTAAAACACCTGCCGACAGGTTTGTTATCTTGAGAAAAAATGCATAAAATTACACCGTTTATCAGCCAAAAACTGTAAAAACAAAATGAATTTCTTATCTGTGACATGCAGGTCTAATGAAAGATTGAACCAAATCGAAGCTTAAAATTGTGACATTTCATTAGAGTTAGTTTATTCTATGTCTCATTTAAAACATCACGAAAACACAATAAAACACCAGATCACACCAACAGCCACAATATTAAGAAGACATTTTCTCTCATTTATCCCTCATTCCAGCTCTTTCAGTCTTGTGTGATGACAGAAAATGTACTAGAAGTTGTTTTTTTGGTTGTTTTTTTTTAAATACAGGATAAAATCTTCTTAGCCTGAGAACCAATCTGAACCCTAAAACCTCCTGGTGGGTTTGAAAAGTGTGTTTTCTTTAAAATATCACCAAAATTACACAATTTATCAGAGCCACAACCTGTAAAACAGAAAAAAAAAGTTGGATTTTTATCTTCTAGCAGCCCTTAATGTAAACTAGTCATGACATTTACTCAAATTTGCTTTATTCTTCATGTGTCATTTAAAAATTAACGATAATATAAACCATTTGACCTCAAAAGAATCAACTGCCCTTCATAAAAAAAAACTTTATTCTGTCTTATTTCAAAATATACCAAAATAATTTTTTTTTAAATTGCACCGCATTCTGTTAAAAATAATAATAATAATAATAATAATAACAATAATACTAATAATATTTAAATGTCCAGAGCCATAATTTATTTTCAATACTGGTTGTATAAGTAGCCACTTAAAGGAATTTTGTACATGTTGATTTTGGGATTTTTCATTTTTCGTAAAATAAATAATCCAACAAGTTCAGCTCTGGATGACGGTCACTGAGGTGACGGTGACCGAGGGGACGGTTACCAAGGTGACGGTTACCTGGGAGATGAGCAGCTGACAGGACGCCAGCTCCTTCTCGTTGGCCTGGATCTTGCGGTGGGCATCGGCCTGAGCGCTCTCCAGCTGCTTGCTGCGGTTCACCAGGGACTTGACCTCGGACTTCATCTTGCTGATGTAGAGGCGAGCGACGGTGAACTCCTCCTCCACCGCCGAGCCATTTCCCTTCGACTCCGAGGACTGAAAGTCAAAGATGACGGGATGTTTCAGATGTTTTGCCTGCTTTTTTGTGGCTTTCTAGTGGTTTATTCCATCTCAGATCATCAGGGTTCTTCTGCTCGAACATCTCTGATTTGCTTCAAACATTTTTATCGGAAATTATGAATGTTTAAAATGGTATCTGTGAGTTTTTAGCTTAATAGATTGAATACTTTCCGAGATAATTCTGTTTAAAAATTGCAAGTTGACCCACTTTCAGCACATTGAGTTTGAGGCTGTTTGATCAGCAACATCTTAGGAACTATTAAATATAAAAAACTGAAATTTTACTGTTTATTTCTCATCATTACACTTTATTTCTCAGAAAAAGCACATTTTATATTTATGCTTATAGTGTTTCTACTTATGTTTATATTTTTAGGTTGTATTTTTCTACTTATGTTATCTGTATATCTTGTACTGTTTGTTTTTCTAAGACTTTAAATGGGAGCAACTGTAACAAAAGCAATTTCCTCTCAGGGATCAATAAAGTATTTCTGATTCTGATTCTAAATTTGCAATGTTGGACAAGTAGATCAAATAATCTCAGATGATGGATGAGTTAAATATTTTTAGAAAGGTGTCTTTGAGCTCACATGAGCAAAAAAAAAAGATTATTTAGAATTCACCTTATGCTATTTGAACCATATGCAGCTGCACGTCACAACAATATAAAACAGAACATAAAGAATGTTTTGTAAAATGAAATATTTTGTCACAAAAATAAAAAATGAAGTTATTTTTGTTATAAATATATATCTCTCAGAAAGTATTTAAAATTTGAAGCTAAAATTTCACAAATATCTTTATAAAAATCCATATTTTATGCTTTAAAGTTCTCAGGCAGATCAGAGATGGTGGAGCAGAACCGGTTTTAAAAACAGTTTCAGATGGAATGAACGAGTCTCATTTGTGTTGTGACAGAAGGACATTTTACATTTTTCACTAACACGATGACCTAAATTCCTGGATCGATGGATAAAATCTCTGGTTTTCATTTAGAACCTCACCGCGGCCGCCTTGACGTCGCTGGTGCCGATGATGGCGCCGATGTCGCTGAGGTCCCTCAGCAGCAGGTTCAGGACCTCGGCGGCTCTCTTCCTCTGCAGACCGTTGAGCTCCTGCAGCTGACTCAGTTCTCTCTGGACCACCGACAGCAGCGCCTGCCGACAAAACAAAGAGCCGTCAGTATTCGGATATAAGAATTTGAATTCTTCTGGAACAAATCAGCAGCAGTTCAGTCAGTAACAACTTTTCTTAAACTCGTAGCAGATCAGTAAACTAATAAATAAGAATAAACTTTATTTTTAGAGCATTTTTACAGCTCAAACTGTCTTTAAAAAAAACTTTTCTGACTTGAATTATAATCAAAACAGTTGCTACATAGCTTTTTGTTGACTGATAGAATAATAAATCTTATATTGCTTTCAGCTAGGTCTGAAAAAATTATCATATTTCAGATCAAAATTTAAATTTGAAACGATGCCGTTTGTCTGACCCAAAGTTCTGCTGTCAAGGTTTTACATCTTCACACTTGGTATCTCTTGTGGTCCAACACATGTTTTAAATCTATTACACAGTGAATCTGAACCGAAGCTGGACCTTAAAAAAATGACAACACAGATCTGGGTGATGGAAAATGTATTCTTAGGAGCATTTTTATTTTTAAATAGGGTTAGGGGTAAAATTCTCAAGTACTATTTGACCCTTAGAATCCCAAAACCCAGTGGCAGATTTGCAAAACATGTAATCTTGAAAAAACAAAAAACAACAAAAATACACCATTTATCAGAGTTTGAAAATGTAAAAATGGAAATTTTCAACTGGTTGACAGCCCTTGATCTGAGCCTAAAATAATAATATTTCATCAAAATTGCTTTATTCTACTTGTCTCGTTTTAAAAAGTGTCAAAAATAGTTTGTTTGAACCAGATTCTGTAAAAAAAAAAAAAAAGAAAAGAAAAGAAACTCTGCACTACTCATCGCAAGCAAAAAAGTTTTCGTGACTTAGCTGCGGCCGACAGTCGTAGTTTTTTTTTGTTTGTTTTTATGATTTTTGGATTTCTAACTGTGTCATCCTGAGCAGAAGACATTTCTGAGTTCCCTCTTCTTCTAGTCCTGGTTGTTCTGTTTCCACAGAGGTGCAGGACTTCATATTGCAGTGAATAATGAGCCCACAGTGAGTAAAAATGTCACAACACAGGATCAACTGGACCCACCGTCTTGTGCTGCAGCTCCTCGGTCAGCTGCAGGTTGACCTGGTCTCGCTCCTCCACCTCCTGGCTCTTCTGGTCGTAGTTGACGGCCAGCTCTTCCAGCGCCTGCAGCACCTCCTTCACCTCCTCCTTGGCCAGCTCGTTCTCCGTCTGCAGCCGGCAAAGCTCCTCCTGGATCTTCTCGTAGTCGCGCCGCGTCGACGCCAGCAGCTGTTGAGACGAAACTTCGTCTTTTTAACTCTCCAACAAAGTCGGCTTTTAAAGATACAAAGGTGTAATGATGAAGACAAACCTCTTCTTGATCCAACATCTGCTCCTTAAGCTTCTCCGCTAGCTGGCTATGCTGGTTAATTTCATCATCCTGTTGAAATATTAAGTCAGTAGTGTCATGACTCAGCTTTTGCATCCATCTTATTTTAGACGTCACCTAGTATTCGAGGCACATATACGGTTGACAAAGAAAAATGTTTACATACACTTGTGAAGACTGTGTATATCATGGCAAGTCTTGAGTTTTCAATCACTCCTTTAACTTAAAATTTATGTCAAAAAAACAACCATGGCCACAATGATCAGGGATATTTTGGAGGAGAGAAGGTGAGGCCTTTAACCCCAAGAACACCAAATCTACTGTAAAGCATGGTGGCGGCAGTATCACGCTCTGGGGTTGTTGCACACTCTTCGGGAAAATCTAAAATTATCCACCAGAAGGTTGGATCTTGGGTGCAGCTGGGTGTTCTAACAAGAAAATGACCCCAAATACACATCAAAAGTGGTACAGAAATGGTTAAATCTGACTAAAATTAAGGTTTCCTCCCCAAAGTCCTGACTTAAACTTCATCAAGAACCTGTGGACTGTGATGCAGAAACAAGTCTGTGTCAGAAATACAACACATTTAGTTTAATATCTGTCAAGAGGAGGTTCTAAGACACAAGGAGAAGCTTGTGGACGGCTACAAAAGCACCCAGTTGAGGTAAAAATGGACATTTAACCAAATATTAGAGTTGCTGTATGTATATTTTTGACCCAGCAGATTTTTTCATGTTTCTAAAAGACCAATAATAAATCTATGAAGAAACCAAAATGCATGATTGTTTTTCTGTGACATGTTTTTCAGTGATTTTCTCGTAGCAGATTCAGAGTTATAGGAGTTTAGATTGACATAATATTCATGATCTTTACAGGCGTATGTAAACTTTTGCTCAGGACTGTATGTAAACCAGAATGTTTAGATGCTTTGATGCTTTAATTTAGCCCAAAATGAAGCAGTAAAGCAGCACAATTAAAGTCTCACTTTGTCGTCCAGCTGTTTGTACAGGTTGCTGATGTCCTCCTCGTACTTGGTCCTCTCCTCGCCGGTGACGCCTCCTCCTCCTCCGGCCGGCAGCAGGTTGTCGATGATGGGAGTGTTGTCGTTGGGCTCGACGTTCTTCTGATCTTTGGCGCTCAGCTGCTCCTCCTCGGGAACGTCCTCCCCTGTAATACACATTAATCTTTATCCATTAAAACGAACACACGTTGGTCAACAAACCTTGTAAATACCTCAAAACTTGGTGAATTTCACTGTCTTTTATCGTATTATCAAGAATTTAGGGGAAATTCTTAAAGTAGAAGGGTTCATCTGTAGTATGGTGGCCGTTTTAGGACTTTTTTAGATGCAATATCAGGCAGAATTTCTGAACTTTACCATTGAGCTTCATCAGAAAAAAGCCCAGAAGTTGCTCTGAGCTGCTTCGACAAACAGTAGAAGTCACATCAGAGCATATCACAACACAAATGGCATCATCATTTTGTCTCATGGTGTTGTGTTGCAGTAAAAGCAGGTTTTAAGGAAAAAACCTGCAGCAACAAAATGATAAAAATGAGGAGAAACAAAGCAATTCAGCCTTTTAACGAGTTTAGATATTGAGTTTTCATTGACTGAAGCATGGTCTGCCTTATTGCTTATTGACTGTTCAGGAACTAACGGGAAAACGCAGATATTTCTCATCCTTAGTCGCCCCCTAAAGGCCGGTTGTGAAGCAGTAAAAAGCCCTGAGAGCACACCCTCCTCTCAGCAGCAGCAGCGTTTCAAAAATTATTGACTTTCTAATTGAGGCTCGGTTCAGTCGTGATGACAGCAACCGAGAAGATGGAGAGGAGGAGGAGGAGGAGGAGGAGGAGGATGGGCTGGAAAGAGGAAGAGTTGCCGGTTTTAAACGGCTCGGCGAGAAGCCAGCGGCTGACTCACGGCCGAAACACCGCATCAGCATAATGTGCACATTCGTGTGCTGCAGCCGAGCTGATTTGTTGCTAAGGAGGGGGAGCGCTATCAGCATCCGCAAGGGAGCTAAATAGAAAAAAAACACAATAGCCACAGAGAGGAGGAGGAGGAGGAGGAGGAGTGGAAGGTAGAGAGACATTAAAGCAAACAGGAAACAGGAGAGAGAGAGAGAGAGAGAGAGAGAGAGGAGGAGGCTGGCTGATGGTTACTATGCAACAGAGATGGGAAAAAAAAAAGGATGCTGCAAAGGAAACACTGCAGAGCGGGAGGAAGCAAAACGAGGCAGTTTGACGCCCTGGACGGTGTCTCTGAATATCATTTAAACAGTTAAACAACGGTTTATGATGCTAAACATGCAGCATTTAGGGTAGTGCACAAAAAAACTCATTGGTTTCATCTACAAATCCAAGTTTGAACAACTGGGTCACTGCATCTGTATGATTATTATTATTATTCCTCCTATTAGCATTAATTAGCAGATTTTTAGAACATCGTTTTATAGCATAAATTATGAACATTAACAAACATTTGTTTGATGTATATCAACATAAAATTAAACTAATATTTCTCAAAATTGCCCACTTTCAGCACATTTTTTCACATTATTTACATGAGTTTTAAATTGTACATAAGTTGTTCCAGTTTAAAATCATCATGGGCCTTCTGCTTTTTAAAAAATCATAAACTAACAACATTTTAAATGGAACCTGTAAATTTTTGGCCTGATATATTAAATATTTTTCAAGGTAAAAATTTCCCTTCACAACATTTTCAACACGTTTCTGTGCACGTTGAAATTTGAGGCTGTTTGAACAACAATATTTCTGTTGTTTTTTCATTTTTTAATGTTTACTTTTATAATTTATTGATAACAAATGTGTGTTAGTTTCTGCTTGATTATTTCTGGTTCGCCTGAAATTTTCAAAACGCAAAATCTGTGAAATTTCAGCTCGATATGTAAAATACTTTTACTTGTCGGCTCACTTTCAGGACGTTTTTCACACGATGAAATTTGACGCTGTTTAAACGACAATATCTCAGGAACTATTACAGATAAAAGCCTGAAATGTTCACTGTTATTTCTCATCATGTTATTGATTCAAAACCTGTAACATTGGACAAGTTGATCAAATCATCTCTGATTATGGGGAGTTGAAATATGAAAAAATAAAATAAAATCCAGCATGAAAAGTCCTATTTTTGAGCTCACATAAACAAAAAACTGATAATGCAGAAGTAAACTAGTGATATTTTCTGCATGTTACAATAATAAAACAAAACAAATAATACGTAATTATTTAAATGTGAAATATTTGATCACAAAAACTAAGAAAAAAACGTATTTTAATTTATTTTTTTTTTAACCAATTGAGCAGCTACGACAAGTTGTACCAAAAATATATATAAATATTGTTAGACAGCTTACTCTAAATTTATTTCTAGAGTTTGAAAATGGTTCTTAAATTATAATTAATGTGGAAATATTCTATATTTTAGAACTCAGCTGTGTAGGAATAAACCTTAGTTTGGAGGAGGCTTTTCTTGGGTGTGATTGCTGCATTTTGTGCAGAAACAAACGATATAAATTATTTGCTGGTTCCTTGTGATTTATTTGCATATTTATATATTAAGAGAGTCAAACAATGGCTCAGACCCCAGAGAGTTGAGAAAAATCCCTCCAGCGTATAAACGGTGAACGTCGAGGCTCACAGCAGTGAATCTTTTTCAGATCATTTCCTCTCACCGTTCCTCCAGCGGTTGAGCTCGGCCTCCAGCCTCTGGATGATGTTCTTCAGGCTCTTGTTCTTGTCCTTCTCCTTCTCGTACTTCTTCTTCCACTCCTCGGCCGTCAGCTCCAGGTTCACAGACACCGTGTTCTTGATGGTCTTGGCTCTGAAACGAAGAAACAGCGAGTCTGTTCAGAGGATATTTGTCTACATATACCGCTTGATTGGATCTTTTCTCTGCACCTGAGCCACAGCTTTGGTCTGCAGTTTAAGAAAACAGAAGTCGGACTAGAAGGAACAAACATGAATGAAAAATGTTACTGCTGTTATTTTTTTGTTTTGCATGTTTGTGTTAATCATTTTTTTACATAATATTTCCTCATCAGCTGATTTATTATGTTTTCCTTCAGAGCAGGTTTATTATTTGTTCAATTAGTGCACCATCAGTTAAAAGCAACTTGGAGGCATTTAAATATTTCAATTTTGACATTAAATTAAGACACATAAATATGAATATACACAATGTTTGAATTAAAACTGCAATGTTTCATGTTGGTTTTAAATATCTGTCCAAGCATCTGCTGCAAAACTACGACCCAAAATACAAAAAATAGCCACAAATTCTGCATTTTCTCAGTTAAAACATGATGTATCAGCTAAAACTAGTCGCTAATTCAGCTCCACATCTAATGAAAATCACATTAAACATGCTGCTGCTCTGAAATTGCAGCAACTCGTCCTTTCCAGAAACCAAAAATCACATTTCATGAGACTCTCTGTGCTTTCAGAGTCGGTTTCTGCAGTTCAGATGGACACAAAGAGCAGCTCCACCCCTCTAGATCTGTTCTCTAATGGTGGAAACTCTTCATTTCCTCTCACTTTCTCCTTGGCAGAGGGCAGATGGCTGCAGTAATCATTCACCAGTCATCTCTCTGCCGGTTCTTAATGGTTTATTGCATAAGCAGTTCGACCTCAGACGCTGCCGATGGTAACGTCAGCGGAGACGGTTTCAGCAGCTGGATTGTCTGCTGTGGATTTATTCTTAGTTTCAGAAGAACAAATAAAGGAGGCGGCTCGCTGCAGCTCTATAAATAGGAATAAACCCAGATGCACAGTGGGAAACTCAGAGCCATCTGGTTGTTAGTTTGCAGCGCTGACGTCAGCCGGAGTCCTAATGAGACGGCGTTCACCTTCATAAACCGGAGAGCTTAAACTAA